GAAAGAACCCAAATGACCTATTTATAGAAATCCCGAAGTTACTGTTCACGTATACGGTCGGTGTGAACAATACCGTATATATGAACAGTAAGTCGGTGTGAACAGTAACGGTGGGCTCCACCATAAATATATTTTATTTATAACACTCCCCCTTGGAGCCACCGTTAGTAAAAACTATAAATACTTGTTTACTTCATATAATCAATATTATTTGCATATGCATTTTCATGTATAAATATGATATGTTGTTGTGTCTTGTATGACTATTTCTGCTTTATAAGTTAGTATTGATATTATCTGTTATTAATCTATCTTTTTTTATAATGTTGCTTTGTTCTTGAATAGAAAACGAATATGGCCAAAACTGCGGACCGAGGAGGAGATATATGTTTGGCAGATAGTGCTACAACACATACAATTCTGAAAGAAAGAAAATATTTCTCGAATCTGAGAATAAACAAAGGAAATGTTACTACTATATCTGGAAATGCAAAAATAATCGAAGGCTCTGGAAGAGCCGATTTCATTATGCCAGGAGGAACAAAATTTACGGTAAAAGATGCATTATTTTCCTCAAGGTCACAAAGAAATTTATTGAGTTTTAAAGATATCCGACAAAATGGATATCATATTGAAACTATGAATGAGGATGATACTGAATATTTATATATCACCTCAATTAATTCGGGACAAAAGTATGTGTTGGAAAAATTACCCACTCTATCCTCGGGATTATATTATACTAATATCAATGTGATTGAATCACATGTTATAGTAAACCAGAAGTTTACTGATACATTCAAAGTTTGGCATGATCGATTGGGTCACCCTGGTGCTATCATGATGAGAAAAATTATCGAAAATTCTCATGGTCACCCATTGAAAAACCAGAAGATTTTTCAATCGGATGAGTTTTCTTGTGATGCATGTTCCAAAGGAAAGTTAATAATTAGACCATCACAAGTTAAAATCGGGTATGAATTACCATCATTTTTAGAAAGAATTCATGGTGATATCTGTGGACCCATTCATCCACCATGCGGACCATTTCGATATTTTATGGTATTAATTGATGCTTCAAGCAGATGGTCGCATGTATGTCTTTTATCATCACGAAATCTGGCATTCGCCCGATTATTAGCTCAAATAATTAAACTAAGGGCACAATTCCCAGAGTATCCGATCAAGAAAGTGAGACTTGATAATGCTGGAGAATTTACATCACAAGCTTTTGATGATTACTGTGTAGCCTCCGAATTGAGCATTTCATTTTTCTTGGGCCCTTTGCTCTTTCGGGGGTTTTTATCCTTAGAACCAATAGGTCGTCCACGCTTCAGGCGTGTTTTGGAATCGTTTGTCGAATTTTCTCTAGTTTGTTCTTTCGGAATTTCAATCCGTGCAGGAACATTTGCAGCATCTATATATGATCTTGTTACTCTAGTTGTATCTGCAAACACATCAGGTAACTGGTTTGCAATATTCTGCAAATGTATAATCCTTTGAACTTCTAGTTCTCGTTGTTTTGCTGGGGGATCATGATTCTCGGCTCGCCTCATGTAATGCTATGACCTCGGCATGATTAGCTGATGTAGCGACTAGGGTCTGCTTTTGAGAACGCCAGGCTAGCGCAGTTCCATTGATTGTGAAGACATAGCCTGTTTGTGACCTGCCTTTATGTGGGTCTGATAAATATCCTGCATCTGCAAAACCAACAATTTCTTGTTTTGTGCTTTTAGGATAAAACAACCCAAGATCAATAGTTCCTTGAAGATAACGAAATATATGTTTAACCCCATTCCAATGTCTTCGTGTTGGGGCAGAACTGTATCTTGCTAATAGATTGGTAGCAAATGATATATCCGGTCTAGTACAATTTGCAAGATACATAAGAGCTCCTATTGCGCTTAGATACGGTACTTCAGGACCAAGTATCTCTTCATTACCTTCGCGAGGACGAAATGGATCCTTTTCAATGTCCAATGTTCTATTAACCATCGGGGTACTAAGTGGGTTTGCCTTATCCATATTGAATCGTTTTAGTACCCGTTTTGTATAATTTGATTGATGTAGAAAGATTCCATCTTTCAAATGTTCTATCTGCAGCCCAAGACAATACTTGGTTTGTCCAAGATCTTTCATCTCAAATTCCCCTTTTAAATAAGTGGATGCATCCTGGATTTCGTGGGGAGTACCAATGATATTCAAATCATCGACATATACAGCAATAATCACAAACCCGGACATTGTCTTTTTGATAAATACACATGGTGATATAGGATCATTTGAATATCCATTTTTCAATAAGTGCTCACTCAAGCGTTTATACCACATACGCCCTGATTGTTTTAGCCCATATAATGATCGATGTAACTTGACAGCACATAACTCTCGTGGTTTTGTTTTCAATGCTTCGGGCATTTTAAATCCTTCAGGGACTTTCATATAGATACTCGTGTCAAGTGATCCATATAGATAAGCAGTAACAACATCCATGAGACGCATTTCTAAATTCTTTGTAACTGCAAGACTAATTAGGTATCGGAATGTAATAGCATCCATAACAGGAGAATAAGTTTCTTCGTAATCTATTCCTGGTCTTTGGGAAAAACCTTGTGCGACAAGACGAGCTTTGTATCTTACAATTTCGTTGTGCTCATTTCTTTTCCGCACAAACACCCATTTACATCCAACAGGAGAAACTTCTTTCGGTTTAATAACAATATGTCCGAATACCTTTCGCTTATTAAGCGAATCTAATTCAGCTTGTATTGCGTCTCTCCATTTATTCCAATCTGGTCTCTTTTGACACTCCAAAACAGATCTGGGTTCTGGATCCTCATTTTCATCGATTTCCTTTGATACATTATAAGAAAATATATCATCAATCTCTTTGATTTCTTTTCGATTCCATAATGTACCATTACTGATATAATTGATCGAGATCTCATGATTTTCATTATCTGGATTTATACCACCATCACAAGGTACTTCATTTCTTTGATTTGGAACGCGTTCCTCCGAATTGAGCATTTCATTTTTCTTGGGCCCTTTGCTCTTTCGGGGGTTTTTATCCTTAGAACCAATAGGTCGTCCACGCTTCAGGCGTGTTTTGGAATCGTTTGTCGAATTTTCTCTAGTTTGTTCTTTCGGAATTTCAATCCGTGCAGGAACATTTGCAGCATCTATATATGATCTTGTTACTCTAGTTGTATCTGCAAACGCATCAGGTAACTGGTTTGCAATATTCTGCAAATGTATAATCCTTTGAACTTCTAGTTCTCGTTGTTTTGCTGGGGGATCAAAGTGGGATAATGATGGTGTACACCAATTAAGATCATTTTCATTTCCCACCATTCTATGATTTTCTCCCCCTAATGGTGGGAACTCATTTTCATTAAAATGACAATCAGCAAAACGAGCCGTAAAAACATCTCCAGTTTGTGGCTCCAGATATCGTATAATGGATGGCGAATCATATCCAATATATATTCCAAGTCTCCTTTGTGGTCCCATTTTTGTCCGTTGTGGTGGGGAAATCGGGACATATACTGCACATCCGAATATTCTTATATGCGATATATTAGGTTCTTGACCAAATGCTAATTGCAATGGAGAATACTTATGATATGCACTTGGTCTGATACGAATCAATGATGCAGCATGCAAAATAGCATGTCCCCACACAGAAATGGGTAATTTTGTTTTCATTATCAATGGTCTGGCAATCAACTGAAGTCGTTTGATTAATGACTCTGCCAACCCATTCTGTGTATGTACATGTGCAACTGGGTGTTCAACATCAATACCCATTGCTACACAGTAATCATCAAAAGCTTGTGATGTAAATTCTCCAGCATTATCAAGTCTCACTTTCTTGATCGGATACTCTGGGAATTGTGCCCTTAGTTTAATTATTTGAGCTAATAATCGGGCGAATGCCAGATTTCGTGATGATAAAAGACATACATGCGACCATCTGCTTGAAGCATCAATTAATACCATAAAATATCGAAATGGTCCGCATGGTGGATGAATGGGTCCACAGATATCACCATGAATTCTTTCTAAAAATGATGGTAATTCATACCCGATTTTAACTTGTGATGGTCTAATTATTAACTTTCCTTTGGAACATGCATCACAAGAAAACTCATCCGATTGAAAAATCTTCTGGTTTTTCAATGGGTGACCATGAGAATTTTCGATAATTTTTCTCATCATGATAGCACCAGGGTGACCCAATCGATCATGCCAAACTTTGAATGTATCAGTAAACTTCTGGTTTACTATAACATGTGATTCAATCACATTGATATTAGTATAATATAATCCCGAGGATAGAGTGGGTAATTTTTCCAACACATACTTTTGTCCCGAATTAATTGAGGTGATATATAAATATTCAGTATCATCCTCATTCATAGTTTCAATATGATATCCATTTTGTCGGATATCTTTAAAACTCAATAAATTT